GAAAGCATGCACGAAAAAATCCTCTCTTGTACTTATTTGATAGCAAATTACGTCTTCTTTAAATTTATTCTTAAAGTAAGGGTTTCCTTCGGTTTTAAAAAATTTCTAATTATGAGTTTTTTACGACTGTGCGGTGTCCATTCATAATCCATCGTATCCGTCAATTTATTAATGCTGCCACCGATATACATAGGATGATCCATGTCTATTGCGAAATTTCATGAGAACTATGTAACCACTTCCTCAAACCGTAGGCAAGAACGCACCTTTCCTCAAACAGTATGAATACGGCATTCAGTTTGTAAAACTTGAATTCAGTTCTAGTAGTCGGTAGGTTTCAAAATCATTCGGCATGTAGACCTCCAGGGGACTTATAAAATCCCGCGTCATCACGTTTATAAAAACCAGCATAAGACGGTCACGTCAAACTTGATAAAACCGAGCGAACGCCGTCCCGCGAAAAAATCACCCAAGGGGGGGAGGGTCAAAGTTACTGGCATCCTTCATCAATGTGACTACGCATACTGCAAACGACCGTCAAAGAAAAAAAAGTATCTGCCAACAGGCTGAGGCAGCAAAAAGGGAAAGAAAAATCGATTTATTCACAGCTGATCAGCTTGGCTGGTCATTTGAAGTTTCTGGTCGATTTTTAACATTTAATGTTTTAATACGTTAGAACAGACTAGGCTCTTCGAGGCATCAGCAAGAAGGCTAATCTGTTTTGCTAAACATCCGCACTTTCGCACCTTCGATCTTGTCAAGTGGGGCGCCAGTTTTTGGAACCGCCTAAGGCTATCGATCGGCCAGTTGCGTACAGGCATACACAGGCATTGTGCGCTTAGTTCCTGCATGCCGCAGATTCTGCGCTCCCTCGACGATGACCTTCTGTGGGACCCCGCGTATACACTGTATGAGTATGGCAGACGTTTCACTTATGATCTGCATGGCAAAAAGGTTAATTTAGCCGCTCGGTTTCTCCAGAATCCTGCCAGATATGTTGAGTACATCGTCAGAGAACACGAGATCTTATTAATAGTTGTTGGAATTGTCATCATTACGCTTATTATTGGATTTATTTACTTAAAGGGGTTTCTGTGGTCAAAATTCAAATTGTGCTGCAGGTTCTGTCGCTTCCGTAGGCGAATCAAAAATATGGCGAAGCTAAAAGCACAGGCCGCAGAGTTAGCCGAAGTTGACAGCGATAAATTTGCAGCTGAGATCTACCGACACATCCTGGATTACAAGGGTGTCGCCACCACAGACGGAGAGACAGACATGGTAGAATTTGAATCGGCGCGATTTGTACACGAAGCAATCAAACAGACAGGGTTGGCCTATGAAAGTTTGATCACTAAATTTGGCCGGCCGACGCAGTATATGCTGCTAATACCGCCACCGGATGACGCTGAGGAGGAGGAAGAAGAAGAAGCAGAGGACGAAGAAGAAGAAGCTGCCGACGCAGAAGAAGCGCCAAATTACATGGACGTGATGGAGACCTGAGCAGGTTCGTTTACGTCGAGTTCGGTTTTATACTTTTTTCTAATATCTTGCACAGAATTTTAACAAGAGTGGTAAAAGACCGATAGTTTACTTTGAGGAGGAGGGCCTCTACACCAGTTTCTCAAACTTAATGCTTATGGCATCCTATGTATGGCCATAGGCGTTTTCTTTTCAGGACGTCTGGATTAGCTGAGATCTGGCACTGACTTGTTGGTCTGTCACATCGGTAGAGGCGTATGTATGCAGTTCACATAGAGTAGGGACGTGCTGATGGGCTGAATTGTGCTCTCTGACGTCCCATTTACTCCAGGCAGCTCGTCAGTGCCCCTCTAAGGCTCCCCGGTAAGATTCTGTCAAGTTTATTTGACTTATTATTAGAATGCTTACTTGATAAAACGTATTTACAGCCCGGAGTTGCAATGGGAAGAAAATCGCGAGAGGGCCTGATAAAATAAAAAAAGTTGTTAGATTTTTAAAACAACTTAGCGGACCATTAAGTAGGCCGGAATCACTAGTTGACAGCAAATATGTGTCCTGCTCGAGAGGAAAAGTCTACGTAGAGTGGAGTCTTTTCAAGAAGACATCCCGAGCAGCAGCCAACCATGAATTCGTTTCAGTAAAGTTTAGTTTTATTGTTGCCGAAAAGCCTGTGTAAGTCTTCGAACGCATCTGCTCAGCTTACCAATAAGGATGACCAAACATGGCAAGGGGAGTGGAACGAAAACACGATGGTGTGCGCAAAAGTCTGCTGAAACAGGTGCATTCACATGTTAAATATAGTTGCTTTTGGCGGGTTTTCAGTAATGTTCCAATCATTTCAACACTATACACGCCAGAGGTATGGGATGGTTGGATTTAGTGCAATCATCTGGTACCACTTCTTCATATATGGCCGGGACCCACATACACGCGCTTTGAACGCATGTCCGCATAGATTAGTTGTAGCGAACATCGCACAGAAATGTTCACAAGTAAGGTGGCTTGCCAGCGTAATGTCCAGTTGTGCGTAAATTTGCGTACTGAAGATCAGTTATGAACTTCTTCAAGCTTTAAGAGTAATTTGAAAATTTATAACTAGAAAAAACATTGCCTTGCAGCGCGCTTTCTACGGCCAAAGGATAAATATGTAAGTCATCGAAAGTTTCACAAGAGAACAAAAGGACTGCTGAAATGTTTAATTGCATTTTTTCCTAATAGGAGACTTGTGACTATAGGTGGAACACAGTAGTTTCTTTCATTACCCATGATTGCAAACCTCTGCAAAGTCGCAAGGATCAGGCACAGGCTTCTTTAATGATTCATTTTACTTCAATAAATAGTATTTTTGCGCCTGAGAGCATTGAAATTGACAGGCAAAGTTAACCAGCAGCAAATTTGGATAAATTGCTAGTCGACCTTTTACAAAAACATAGTCAGAAGGAGGCCGGAGTGTTTAAACGTGCTGCCAAACAGGATAAAAGAGCACTGAGCTTACAGCACTGAAAGGGGTAAACGTAGAGGGTGAGCGCGTTTTAGCATGTTTATTCATGCACGACCGCCTTCTTTAAAAAAGTAGGTTTATCTGTCTTATATTTCAGTCTCCTACTTGAATTCGTCATCAAAAAATGAACTTTTATGTCTAAGATATGTCAATTTACATAACTGTGGTCGCAAACGATCAGTTGTCAATCGCAGTTGAGGGCTACATGATTCGAGGTAGAGATTGGGCTACCTGCCGAGGACTGACTTCCGTTTCAGCGCATCGTCAGTGGGAGGCGCCTCCTTATTATCAGACATTTTGGGCTTTAATTGAAACTTTAGGGTCTGAAACGATGTTTGTGTTGTAACCGCGTGTGTTCCTGTGTCAACACCGGTTATGTTCCCCCAG